AACTGTGGGCGCTGGGTGGGAGGCGTCTAACGACCGTGGGTTGGGCAGGGATGAGGCCAGGCCAGCAGGGGGAGTGCTACTGGTGCCACAGCGCCCCCTAGCCTCCTGCTGAGGTCAGAACTGACTGCCAAGGGAGAGCGCCCCCTGCTGAGCGCAGACATACCGTGCAGGCCCAGAATGGGGGGGCTCAGCAACGGCGGATTGGGAAAGGTGAATTTCACGGTGTACTCCCTGGGCCTCTTCAGCAACTCGGGGGCCTCGTTCGCCTCTTCATCCAGGTTCTTCTTGCGGCATTTCTGCTGCTTTCGCGTCAGCGCCTCCTTGGTTTGCTTCTCCTGGAGACGGAGGGAGGGACAGATTGGTGAGCCCATCTAACCCGGTATCCCGGCTGCCTCGCCACTGCTCTGGATCCTAGCCACTGGCCTCGTATCCAGCCTCCTCCTCGTCACTCCAGATTAAAGACATGTGCTTCTCTAACCCAGTATCCTGCCCAGATTTAACACACGTGCCCATCTAACCCGGTATCCCGCCTTCTCCGTTACCCCTGATTAAACCCATGTGCCCATCTAGCCCAGTATCCCACCTCTGTTACCCCAGATCAAACCCCTGTGACCATCTAGCCCGGTATCCCACCTCTGTTACCCCAGATCAAACCCCTGTGACCATCTAGTCTGCTATCCTGTCTCCACCATCCCTGAAGATCAAACCCATGTACCTACCTAGCTCGGTATCTTGCTTTCTCCTTGCCATCCCAGATCAAACCTAAGTGCCCATCTAGCCTCCACCCTGTCACCCCACATCAGACCCATGGCTCCCCAGACCAGATCAAGAAGCCCATCAGATGGGTAGGCCTGAGCTTCAGACTACAAGGAAGTACAAATCTGCCACAGTTCATCTCAGGGGGCAGTAGTCCCATGGCAAGGAAGGGAGAATTTTCCCTTGACACTCAGGAGCTGCCTCTCAGCCTGAGGGCTATGCAATAACTCAGTTTGTTGTTGAGAGATTCTTAATTCCATAAAATCATGCAGCAGGGAGTTCCGTGGGTTAACACGACGGCACAAGTTCCCAGTAGGTAAGCCCTCAGTTGAAGCCAGTGCCCCGTAGAGGGGGGAAAAGGTCCCATATCCTGTGCCCCTGCCACGGGGCCAGACCTCAGGACTCACCGCCTGTTTTGTCGACTTCCCACCCGCCTTCAGGTCCTTCAGTTTCTTCTCCTGTTTCTCATACTGTTTGAGCAGCTCTTTCTGCTTCTGCTGGTACATCTTCTTGAAGGTCACTGCGGCAGAGAGAGAGAGGTTAAGAGGGGCTGTGGTTAGGGCACTGCGCTGGGAGATCCGGGTTCAAATTCCCCCTCTGCCACCAAAGCTCTCTGTGCAGAGACGGGGAAATGTCATTTTCCCTCCCTGCCCAGCGCTTCCTGCCTGGGGGATCAAACCTGGGGCCCTCTGGATCTAAACGCAGACTCCGAGAGCTAAAGAACAAAGCCTGGGGAGGCAACTCTGCATTTAGAATGGTCCGAAATTTCCCATCAAAACATTTTTGGGTGGAAAACGGGGGTTTTGGCCAATGAGAGACGTGGGGTTCTGACATGCCTCATGGGAGGTGTAGTTCAGGGGCCTCGCGCTCCCCCTCTCTGCTCTGGGCTGAGCTCCCCAGCTGAACTACATCTCCCATGATGCACTATGGACCACGGGGCTCCCATGATGCCATTTGGAAGCTCAGGGAGAGGGATGCAGCGTGGGGAACACTTTCTCCAAGGAGTCCAGCCCACATGGGGACACGAGGCAACTGAACTACAAGTCCCATGATGCACCCTGTACCCACAAAACCGCCTACTCTTGGAAGGACACCTAGGGGCAAACCAGTCTCTGATATTGCCCCAGCTGCATCCCCCTCACCCCCGCTCATTACA